AAATAAATAAATAAATAAATAAATAAATAAATAAATAAATAAATAAATAAATAAATAAATAAATAAATAAATAAATTTGTGCTTACAAACATTGGCCTTTTGCCTGGATTTTGCATCAAATTCACGATATTTTCAAGGACACCTTCCGGCTAAAATAAATTTTAATTTATTTGTTAAAAAAAATTGTAGCCTAAATGACTTTAATTACTCACTTCTTTATGCCTGGTAATTTCTTGTTCACGCTCGACGATAGTTTGTTCAAGGTTATTGATCCTTTGCTCTAGGTTTATAGCAGGTAATTGACCACCTGACTTGTTGCTTCGTAACCTCATTCTACTCAACTATATGAGGAAGCCAAAAATACATACATACATACGCATGTTGGATTGAACTGGTGATTGTTTGCACACAAATAACGAAAGTCGATTGTTTTTTTTTAATTCGTACGTACTTCCCAAACTTAAATTGTCCACAAACAATATTTTGCGAAACGTGAAGGAAAGCTCGCACCAAAAATACTACAGTTCTATTGTATTACTAATACGCTTTTTTGTTTACTTTGGTCATCCAAGATCACGGGTCGAGAATCGGACACCGGAGCAGGCACCATCGATTCAGGTGTTGATCAGTCTACTCTGATTGGTGACACGTGATTAGCGAAATTTTTTAAGTTGGTGACGCTAGGGTCTTAGACCCTTGCCAGTTAAATTATGACATCTGGATTAATCAAGTGAAACTCTCCCCTTTTCGACTTCAATAGTAATAAATAACGTAAATAAGCGCTGTATACCTAATGTTCTTTAAGGATAATATCCCACTTTATGTTTGTGGCCCTGTGCTAAAATCAGTGTCGAATAGTTAAGTCTCCCAGATAGCAACAACGGCAAAAAAATTTGGCATACCATATCGGTCAGAGAACATTTCGCATAATTCTTTGAACTGAGTGATTGCTAGATTGTATTATTAAAAACGAAGATTTGTTTTATAATTCTCTTAGTACAACAAAAAAAGTTATGTAAAGAAAGTTATTCGATTCTAAAAACCACATAATGACGTCATATTAAACGAAGAATACAGTCTTTGAATGTGTACACGAAAAATAAACTTTGGTTTTGTCAAAAATTGCTTATTTCTCGAGCAATTTTGCTATATATTTCGCTAATGCTTAACCTTAACGTTAATATATGTCGGGGATGATGTTGAAATCGGATGATGCTGAAATTTGGTGCCTTAATTTGAAAATATAAACCCTACTAAAATCCACCTATACTCTTTTATTATAAACACTAACCCTAAATTCTAATCGAACTATGAAAAAAAAGCTGAACAAAACACTCCAAAAAAATTTTTACATTTTCATAATAAAATAAGTCAAATTTCAGCATCATCCCCGACAATATATACGTTAACCCTAACATAAACAAGCTCTAAAGAATTTTGTCTGTGCCACAAATCTGGCACACATTCAATATTTTTTCCACATCTGGGAGTAATCTAGTAAATTTCAATCATCTGGGGCAAGAAGGGCCTCCAAACCTCTAGTAAAAAATAAAATTATTTACAATTGAGCGAGGCATATAACTAGTGATGTGCATTATCACATAGGAATTTCAGTTTACGGACTATGTGGAATTTTATTCAGAATTTTTCCCACATTATGTGCTCTCTTGTATTATAAACTACATGTAAAAAATCTATGCGCATGGGTTTTTGAATTCATGTGCAATTGTCCATTACTACATATGACCTATTTCACTAATATGACCCATTTATGCTATAGTCTACCCCACATATAACCTAAATAACATTATCCTATCGTTGGCATTCATTACATGAGACTGACTAGTCTGCTGATTTCTGCTCTTAAATGCATTGGATGATGCTAAAATATAAACGTACGTTGATAAATATATCGAAGAATCCATAATTTACACAAATTCTATAATGTTGCTGCATTAAGATTATATAAAATAACTGATATTTTTCAGATTATTTACATTTGAGTATTAAATAAAGTAGAAAATTTTTTTTCGATTTTCTATTTTACCGTTTTTACCGTTTTTACAATTATTCGTCCTGAAATCTTCTGGGTATACTTAAATGTTTCAAAATATAATGTTTATATAAAAAGCCTTTATCAATTCAAATTTCCATAAATATATAATAATTGCTATAGATTTGATAAGCTAGTCGTTCTTATAACTTTAACTACAGATTATGTAATGCGTTATTAAATGAGAACACCGACAAGCTTAGTTCACAGCTATTATCATAATAGCTGTAATTCGCGG